TTGCCCATGGACGACACGACGAAGCACGACATGTGATCTGGGCCGTCCAGCCTAACGCCCGATTCATTGACGAGGACGACGCTGCAGTGACCGCCGATGTCACAGAAATAACTACCGCAATCGCTGAAGAGCGGGAGGCCACGCAAGAAGGGTCATTCAAGCTGGTCTTCACAAACGGCCACCAGAAGTTCTTCTATCGGACGCTGCTGGGAATGGGTGGGCAGATGATGCAGCAGCTTTCGGGTGTCAATTTGATTACCTATGTGGGTGCCTTGGCTTCGAAGACAACGGAATCAGTGTCTGACTTGAGCAGTATAATACGGTTATCTTCGAGGATTCAGTTGGCATGAGCCATAACCTGGCGTTGTTGATGGCTGGGTTCAACGGCGTGGCGTATTTCGCTTCAACATTTGTTCCTATCTGGGCTATTGATCGGTAAGTTCCATATGCATCGCTGTATAGTCTGGTCGGTCGTTGACAAGCTAGGCTGGGTCGTCGGAAATTGATGCTCTTTGCGGCGGCCGGGCAATGCGCGTGCATGGCGATACTGGCGGGCACAGTATATGACGGTAGCCATGCATCTGGTATCGTGGCCACGGTAATGCTGTTTCTGTTCAACTTCTTCTTTGGTGTGGGGTTGCTGGCCATTCCCTGGTTGTGTATGTTGACTACCTTTTGGGCGCCTGTGAACCTGGCTAATAACGACAGTGCCCGCCGAATATGCTCCGCTGTCTATCCGATCTCAAGCTGCAGCTCTCGCAACTGCTACGAACTGTACGTCCTACAGATTTCATGCCGAAATAACGAACGCTAATGATTGCAGGGATCTTCACCTTCCTGGTGGTGGAAATCACCCCAGTCAGCATCAAGAGCATTGGCTATCGCACGTATATCTATTTTGCCGGTAAGTCCATCCTCTCTCCGTTCAGCGATGAAAGCTGACATGACAGTGTTCAATTTCTTCTTCCTCCCCTTGATTTATTTCTTTTACCCGGAGACTCGGAACCTTACCCTGGAACAAGTGGATCGGCTATTTACCGGGGAAAAGGTCCAGCTGCACTGGCACGCGTCAATGGGCGCCGTTGGGGATGCCAGCGAGCGAGTGGACGAGAAGACAGGCAAGGAGACTGTAGAGCATGTAGAGTAGACGTATACTATGTATAAGCTAGATATCCATGACTGAATGCAATACTTACTATCTTCCACAACATCCCTGAATATTATTTTACCGGCTAAATGCAATGTCTGGGGAAATCCCCGACTTTCCCCACATTCTCCCCGGCGGGTATCATTTCCCGATCAGGCAATTTTTTCTCTCTTCATCATTCCCCGCGATCCCACATCATCACCCATCAAACTTCCCTCTTCACAATTCTTCTATCGTACACAAATGACAGGGAATCATGGCTGAAGTATCACAACCTATCGAACTAAAAACCATGCCTTGCGCCGATTCTCGTCATCTTCCGCGGAAACGGACCCGCACGGGTTGCGTGAACTGCAGCCGGCGAAGGCGGAAATGTAAGCAGCAAGCAAACAATGGAGCTTGATAGCCACAACAACTAGTTACCTATCTGGTTAGATAACACTGCTCATTGCTGACTTATCCAGGCGACGAAGCAAAGCCAACGTGCACGGGCTGCAAACGGCGCGGCGACAAGTGCCAATGGCGCATGCTGGGGTCCTTCCGCGAGGCCAACATCAAGGTTCTGGAACCGGGGCATCCGTCTATGAATCAAACGGCCAGGGGAACTAGGAAACAGAGTAAATTCAAGGTTTGTTTTAGCTTCTTTGGATATGGGGTAGGTGTTGTTGGCTTATGGTGTTGCTCGGTAGATTCTGAATGTTGTTCCTTCTCCTTCCCGAGCTGCTGGAAAAGAACGGCAGCTGAGTCCGCCGGTTGATGAAGGGAGAGGGTCATCGCCTTCGGCACGATCGCTTCCAGGTAATGGTGAGGGTGAGGGTGAAGTGGTGCGGCCGGATGGTCTGGAAAATGTATCCGGAGCAGCACCGGATGCTCACCCGACGGTGCTTAGTCCTGGTTCTAATCAAGCTGTGTCGCCTCTTTCGCATCACAGTTTCCATGCTCACGAGGTTAATATTGGAAATGGCCATTCGCCTCATCAGGCTAATGAATTGCCTCATCCTTACCCCGATGAAGCGCCTCACCAGCCGTACATCCATTCTAGTCCTGAGTTTGTTGTTGATGAGCTCACTGCTCTGCGCAACCTCTCCAATAATGCGGGGCACTTTCCTGGACCTGAAGTTTACCAGTCTATAACATCGCCATTGTTTGACCATAGCGTCTTTTCTGATCCGGCAAATTTGACAAATGATGTTTTCGTTCCGGGCTCAGCCTACGAAGCCCTTCATACCACACTGCGTAATCGACAGCTGTGGACTGCTCGGACAGAAATCCCCAGTCGCGCAAGTACCCCGGCATCAGTGCTTGAATATGATGGACCAACGCCGGATACCTCACATATACAGAGAAGCAGACGAGCTCAGTCCAGACCCGGACGGGATTTTGAACTGACACCTGAGCGTGAGAACATACTCTGGCAGAACTACTTGAACGAAATCTGTCTCTGGGTAAGTGATTCAGACACCCCGCCGGACAAATTCTAATCCTGCAGCTGGACATGTTCGACAACCACCGACACTTCGCATCGACCTTCCCTCAGATGGCCAAGTCGGCGCCACATCTACGATATTCCATCCTTGCCCTGTCAGCACGGCAGATGGAGCGACAGCAGAACAAAAAGTCGCAATCGGAAAGTCTTCTCTTATACCAAGAGGCCATCCATCAACTTCTTCCGGAGCTAGAGCAAAAGACAACCCCTGTCATCGCGTCATGCGTCATTTTATGCGTCCTCGAGATGCTCAGCTGTATGTACCCCTCTCTTCCCCTCCGACGTCTCCACCCACTGACAGGTCTAGGCAACCCCAAAGAGTGGCGCCGACACCTCGACGGATGCGCCTACCTTATCCAAGCCGCGGAAATCAACGGCTTCTCGGGTAAAGAGGAGCAAGCGCTATTCTGGTGCTTCGCGCGGATGGGTTAGTTGCATCTAGTCTACCTACTTTATCCCTGTTCCTGGTGTCTCCCCCCACACATCCCCTCAGAGGGTAGTAGACTAATGCACGACATACTGTTACAGACGTCTGCGGAGGCCTCATCTCCGAAGAAGAGACCATTATCCCGATCCACCACTGGATTCCGCGCGACATGACCCCCACGGAAGCATCCCAGCTCTTCCTCGCCTCAAACATGACTACCTTTGACACGTACGCCAATTACACCGTCTTCCTGTGTGCTCAAACATTAGGGGTGCTCTTCGGCGGTAGCAGCCAGTTATCAGCGTCCTGCGTGTCATGCAACTATCTCTCTAGTCCCAGGGAGGGCGAATCGTATGTGCAGCGGTGGCAGCGCCTGTTTGATGATGTGGAGCAGTGGTATGAGAACCGGCCGAGTCAGATGAAGCCGATCTTTGTCCTGACAGCGGGAGGGAAGACAATGGGGAGGGGCGATGGGGAAAGACCGTTTCCGACGGTGCTGTATGGGAACGGGGCTGCTAGTATGTTGCTTATCCAATTTCCTATTTAGGAAGTTGTGGATGTATCCGTAGGCAGATGGTATGGATACGTGTACTGACTTGTGGATTCCAGTTTCAGGAAACCAGCTCTACCATGCCTGTGCATTGCTTTTGCTGCAACGAAAACCGAAGACGGTATCCTTGCCACGGCGACCGGTGAGTCAATTTTTCTTTGTCTGTTTCATAATGATAATTACATCCGACGGATCGGATCATTCCTTTAACTTGGGCCTCTGTTTATCCTCGGATATACTTACTAATTCCGATACTAACAATATGTCTAGAAATCGGTGTTGTGGCACGCGCGGCAAATCTGCTCTATTTCCGCATCGAATACACACCAGTAAGTTGGCCCTTACTTCACGATATACTTGCTCTACGCCGTATGTCAAAAAGTTTAAGGATAAAGTTAATGGGTGGGAAATAGTGGCTGCTGGACCAATGCCCTGCAGCCGCTGTGGCTGGCTGGCAAAGTCATGTCGCATCATTCGGAACATACCGCCATTATTGAGACGTTGACGCGAATTGAGCGCGAGACGGGGTGGGCGACAGCCTGGCGAGTGGAAGACCTAAAGGAGTTTTGGGGAGATGAGGACGAGGATGTGGATGTGGATATGGATGGGGGGATGGATCTGGACCTGCGGAGTGAGAGGGTGAGAGGCAGCATCGGGAGTATTCCTTCGAGTCGGTCGTGAGATGAGAGATTTCCACGATGTGGCATGAGCAGAGCAGAGCAGACGCAGCGCACAGTAGCGTAGCTCAATGCAGGCACGGGTCGGACGGGAGGAGTTTTGGGGTTTGATGGATATCATTGGATTGATTGGGATGATCGAGATCGGGATCCACCAGGCCGGGAATGAGCGGGATGAGGATCTTACCGAGACATGAATCGATGAATAGACATGAATTAGATAGTCTCTACTCATACTGTAAATCTGAGCAGCAAACGTCAAGAAGACATAATGTGATCTTCACCGTAAACCAACATTCTTGAACACTCTCACCCTTCGTCGAAACTTAAACAGTAGACAGTCAAACCTAGACAATAAGGACGATCCCCATAATCAAGGCAGGCAACCAAGGCAGTGGATCTCAGCTTGCAGGATTCAGCTTCAGCTCTTGCCCCATCTGTGCACTATTATAGGTCCAAACCACCGACTCCTCTCCAGCCGCAGCGGATCTCGCATCCTCCCAAGCACAGGTTCTGGTTCGCGCGCGCGTCCCGATCCGCTTCCACCATCCATCCACCCAGCTAGCAAATCTCCACCGTTCATTTCAATTCTCCATTTTCCAGGAAATAATCATTATCATACAAACCAAACACCCCCTCTTCTCAAATTACTCACAAAAAGAAATCAACACCAGAGAACATAAATGAATAGAAAAAAATAATACCAAGTAAGATCAAGATTCAGCCGCTACCCTCCTCAACACAACCTCCAACCCTAGCACCTCCCTCCCCATCTCCCTCAACCCAGCCCCATTATCCTCCCGATCAAACCACAACCTCCAAACCCCCTCGTCATCCACTCCCGGAAACCTTACTGCCAACCACCCCTCCCACCCCTCCAGCGTCATTCGCGATTCGTCCTTCGTCCAGTCAAATGGCCCACACACCTGGCCCTCGCTCTCGGCCCGCCCACCCCAGCACACCTCGTGCGTGGTGACGTCCAGGAAGACCCAGCGTAATGTGGGCGGTGTCTCGCCTGTGATGGTTACCAGGCCGGCTGTGTTATCGGGTGGGAATTGTGGGTGTGTGAAGAAGCCCCCATTGAAGGGGGTCATGGTGTTGGGGTTGGGGTTTTTGGTTATGTAGAGCTGTTTTGGTTAGATCTTTTCTGGTTGTTTCAAATGCAGGTACAGATTAATTCTGGGTAATGAAATGGGTTTTCTAGGGTTGGAGCTAGAAAATGGGGGAGACAGGGATGGGATATGTAGATGCGGTATGATGGTTGCAGGATGGGAAACATACTACCATCTCTAGGATGTGCATAATCCCGCAATAGGCATACCCACAGGATGGTAGTAGATAGCGCAAAGAAGGTAGAAGAGAAGGAAGGAGAGAGACTTACTCGGTTCTCAGGACCCACATACACCATCGCATTATGAATCTGTTCGCGCTGTTCCGTCGTACCCTGATTCACCGAGCAGTTCACTAACAAATGACAGCGTTGTTTCCGACTGGATTCTTTCCGACTATCTTCGCTATCGCGCATGTTTTGACTCGCTTGGTTCAGACCGATCATGGTTGGGATCATGGTGGCCATCATGGCGATGCCGAGGACCATTTTGACTGACTGACTGACAAGTAAATTATGCTAATGAGCGGGAGTAGGTGCCTAGCTAGCTAGCCAGGATGAACGACAAGGATCGGAGAGAAATAAATGCAAGCGAGATGGATAAGGACGGAAATAATCAGAAGGAAGGAGGAGAAAAAAAAATAAGTCAGATCGGCGCATTAAGTAGGGTGGATGGGTGTGGAGTCGATGCAACTTGGTCGGAACTAATCGCTAGACTTGCAGATGGAGGAAGTTAATTTAGCTTTGCAAAATGGGGTGATTTATAAAGTAGTTTAGGCGGAATCGGGGGCTTTAGTTGTGTCTGCTATTTACATGGATTCTTTTTCTTCTTCTTCTTCGGCGGCCTATTCTTCTTCCTATTCTTCGTCTTCGTCTAGGTATTCGGAGTCCGAGTCTGAGTCGCTGTCCTCGACATACTTCTACTCGCACTTTTCCCTCGCGGATTCGTTTTGGAATTCTCATCCTCATCCTCGTCCTCTTCCTCCTCACTTATCTACCACCGTCAAGGACAAAGACAAAGAACAAGAACAAGAACAAGAACAAGTCAAATCCACCTACCAACCTCCTTCAATTCCAACCACTGAAGACACAATGGCCGACTCTTCCTCCCCAGGGTACGTCTCCTCCCTTACCCTTCCCAATACCTCCCCCATCCCAATCTACCCTCATTCATCAACATCCCAGCATACATACGTAGTAACATCCTCAATTCTTCAGCCCTACTTCCACTCCCACTACCAATCCCTCATCCACAACTACCCCAAAACCACCCTCCAAGCCCCCATCCCCTACTCCCCGAACTCCATCTGCTCCTGCAGCAGCATCTACACCCACCTCAATCCCCAAGCCTGCGTCTCCCACCCCAATCCCTACTAACACACCCCTCCCTACCAGCAACACCCCAGGCGGCAACCGCCGCAACAACCGCCCCGAAGAAGAAGCCGCCAGCGCCGCCAGCGCCATCCTCCCCAACGAAGGCATGAAGGCCCCCGGCGTGACGGCTAACCAGGATGAGAAATCCAACCTAAAGATCAGCATTCACTTGAACTTGCGGGCTAAGGTGAAGTTGGATTTGGATGCGCAGTTGTATGGTGATATTGTTATTGGGTTGTTGTAACCTTGTTACTTTGGAATGTATATGGGATGAGGTGAGGGGGTGTGTGTATGTAAGGGTATCCTTTGGATGAAAGTATGAATGAATGGACTGAAATGCGTATATGGTTGGATTGAGATCTTCAAACATACTCTTTGTGGTGGGAGGTTGTAAAGAAATTGTAGATGGTGTAAGTATTTTCACATGATGGCGGTAATGATGTCAAGCATTGCTATCACGATTAATGATCGATGATGCCAAGTATCGTTTAATCCGCATTGGAATCGACTCGGATGTCACTGAAAAAGTAACAGGAACAATATAAACATGCAAGATACACACGGTACCTGCTAAGTAACAGCATTAGTATATTCCCTCAACACCCCCCTCATAACATGCACCGGCGCCGGCCTCCCCGTAAACAGCTCATATTGCGCAATGCCCTGCTCCAACAACACCACCAGCCCATCAACCACGACCCAGCCCATACCCGATCGTTCATTCATAGCCATTCTCAGCTTCGTTTGTGGCATTCCATATGCGACCTGTCCTGTTAGCACTTCTTCAGATACTCCGGGTATATCACACACATACATCGATAAAAACACCTCCAGTCGTACTCCTCAACCACTGCTCCGATATCTCCATCGTAACAGGAGCCTGTAACTGTCCACCGGCTGGCGCAGGCAAGCACGCCACGATAATTGTCGGCTGACGGAACCCCGCCGGCCAGGGGTCATTGCCTGACCGCAGAACCTCAATCTGCAAACGGGTGTCCTTCTTCTCAGCCCACCGAGTATAGTACTCAGCTAGTTTCTGTGCATTGGAGCTAGTCCGATTATATATGCACATCTGACGAACGCCGATCTGGTAGCATGCGTAGATAGCGGCGCGGGCCATACCGCCTGCGCCTATTATCAAGGCAGTTGTGCCATGTCGAATGGCGTTAGCGGGAGAGAGATGCTTGTAAATGCAGTCGCGGATCCCGAGGTAATCTGTATTGTATCCCTTAAGAATTTTGGAAGAGGGATTGTTGGACCGCTGAATGACGACTGTGTTTACGGCGTGGATGTCCTGGGCATCTGGACTGACTTCATCCAGTAGGGTGAGGACGTCCGCTTTGTAGGGTAGTGTTACAGCCACTCCGCCGTGTTCAGTGCTGTTTAGGAGTTTGTGGATATCGGAGAATTGATCGCTGCATAATATGTTGTAAGTGTGTGGTAAGCCGCAGGCAGTGTAGGCTGCGTTGTGCATTGCTGGTGATAGACTGTTTTGGACTCTTTGGCCAAAAACGGTGAATGTTTGTTTTGTGAGTAGGTAGCATGAGGTAAGTGCTTGTTGGGCTGATGCGAGTGTGACTCCTATGTCACCTTCTGGTAAAGATGGGAGTATCACTGGTGAGAGAATAGGATTTAAACATATAGATGCTCGGCCGAGTGGCCCAGTATGGTATGCGGTTATGGGGATGTCGGTTATCTCACCCAGCCGTTGTTGTAAATTCAGGTTGGTGAGATCGCCAGGGAAGTTGGGCTCCGAAGTGATGCGAAAAGCGTCAAAGCCAAGCTCATCTGTCTTTTCCAGGAGAGAGCGAACTTCAGGAAAGATGCTCTGGTTTCCCGTCATAGAGGTTGACTGATAGGTGGCAATGATCTTTGTGTGACCTTTGGCCAGCTTTAATCGGCTAAAGTCGGGGCTGTCAACAGGACACGCCACAACATCGGGCGCCAGTCGAAAAAGCATCTCTAAGAGCTCGCAGCATCTAGAATTTGACTGCTGAGGAACCTCAATGGAGATTGGAACCCGGGTATGTTTCCGGATTGTCGCCATATGCTTGGCAATCCTTTCCATGAATCGACCATCATCAATATCAGCTGCACCCCCGTCAATCACAAGATTAACCGCGTCAGTGCCACTCTCCAGAAGTCCCAAGTCCGGATTATCTTCCAACCAGGTCCACGGCACCTGCAGCGCATATGTATGAGACGGTGAAAACGGGTCCGAGGAGTAGAGCACATGAAAAGCGCGCCCGAAGACCTGATGTAAAAACCTCAGGAACACTCTCTCAGCCTCCTTGAGTTTGATATACGCCGGGAGTGGGCGACCAGCATAGTCAGTCACCTTCTCTTGTGTGTGATTGAAGAAGTCAAAGCTGGAGCATGACTGGAAAAACTCATTGCCTGCTTCAAAGATACGGTTGAACTTGTCAGGGCTGGTGGTTATGATAAACTGCTGAAGATCCACCCGGTCGCGTCTGACATACACCACAGGATGGTTTTGTGCGAATTCCTTCAGAAGCACCTGCTGTTGGCGATTCGCTGACCATCCCACACCAGTGATGGTTATTACACATCCTGTAGAGCATTTCTCTAGCAACGAGCGAGTCAATTTTAGCTCCAGCTCCCGGTATCGCGCAGGACCGTTGTGCGTAATGTACTCCTGAGGAGATAGGTGCACCTCCTGGCGAAATACAGCATCAAAATCTATGAACCTGCGACGCAGTGCAACCGATGCAATGATGCCTAGGGTTTTCTTTCCGGCGCCGACGAATCCCACGAGTAGCAGGGTGGCGTCCGCACTGTACCGCCGGCAAGGGATAGATACAAGGCGGTCGCATGGTGTCAAAGGGGAGCTGAGACTAGACATTGAGCCTGTTATGGTATGAACGCTCAAATTCCAGCATCTCGAGTATTGCTGGCTGCTTCAGCTGTGGCAAAGTGAGCGGACGAATTGGACAGTCAAAGTGAGACCGCGTAAATTCCTTGCCGATCACATGATCTAGACTGAAACTCAACTGCACCACAAGAATATGCATCGTGAAAAAGGAGAAACCATCGGATAAATTCAGTAGCCGCTAATAACGGCATATGATATGCCTGAATCCAGGTCATCGAAGCGCCAGCGCATCGCTCGCGCCTGTGATCAGTGTCGGCGTCGAAAATCCAAATGCGACGGAGACCAGCCAGTCTGCGCCATCTGCCACTCGGCTGGCAGGACCTGCACGTATGAAAACATCAGTCGGCACCGGGGATTGCAGTCGGGATATGTTCGCAGTTTAGAGGTGACTTTGGGGCTTTTTCTCGAGCGGTTCCCTCGTAATGAGGATGTCTTGCGACGCTTCATGCGCGACCCTCAGTGCAAGACGCAGCTACCGGCGAGTGAATTGGCAGAGCGTGGACGACAGTCCAGGCTGGCCAGATACGTGTATCGAGTGCTGAATCCAGACTCACAGGATGAATCGAGTAGCGAGCTTGAAGATCATGCAGAAACTGCATCACGAGGATGCGACATTGGTGAAGGGGGAGGAGGAAGAGGAGAGGAAGGAGAGGGCATTACCCAGGAAAGAACCCCTGGCAGGCACGGGATATGTGAGGCTGTCTCAGTAGAATACCTCAATCAACCCATTCCGAGTAATGCCGATCAGCTGCTGCAGTTCTACTTCACCCATATTCACAGCTGGCTCCCCATCGTCGAGCGTCGGGACGTCCTCCGCGTCCTGCACACCCCTCCAGATGCGTCATGGTCGGCTCGAGACGCTGCCTGTCGTCTAGTGTTATGGGCCATTGTCGCCTATTCATCGGCAATGCATGATACACTGGGTCGGGGCAGCCAGGTCGACCCAACGCAGATTGCTCAATCCATCCGATTGCAAGTCCTGAGGGACATTGACCGGCTGCAGCTTGGCCATCTTCAATCTCTGTTGATCGTCACCCTCCTTTACCTGGGGGTGGGCCATCTGCGTCTTGCGTGGGTACTAGTTGGCGAAGCCACGAGAATGCTCGAGATGCTTCCAGAATCTGTCAGGTGCGCTCGCTACATACACATCCGGCATGGATGCATCTTGATAGACAATCTTACTTCGGCAATCCTGGAGAAAGCTCCTTGTGCCTCGCTTGATGATCTGCGACAGTGTGCCTTAGTGAGCGAGGACGATGTGGACGAATGGGAGCTGTGGTCTATGCTGCGACCTGACCAGTCTTCAGGAGGCAGCGTCGTCACCAAAGGCCCCTTGCGAGCTCTAAGCAGTCTCAACCTTATTCACGGACTGATGCGATTTCTTACTCAGATACTCTATTATCCATCTGGGACCCTCCCTATCCAGGAGCTCATAGTTGAGCTACGGAACTTGCAAGACCTTGTGACGGCTAGGAGGCCTTATCGCGGTCTGGAGTTTGCAAGCCCTCCTCTTCTTACGCTACATCTAACCACAGCCTTCGTGGTATTTTCTCTCGCGCTGAAGCACAAGACGTTCGATCCGGCCATCAAGCCGCTGGCCTTGACTAGCCTGCGCTTTACTCTTGAGATACTGGATGCATATACAGAAATCACTGGAATGGCGGGCTCATCTCCGCTGCTTCGCTGCTTTTCCTTTCAGGCCTACCGGTGTCTACAGAGTGCTCCTAGCATGTTGGGGCCGGGAATGGAGCAGCTGAGCAGTCGACTGATCAATCATATGCAGAAGCTCAAGCGAAGTAGTGAGGGTGGCACTCCAAGTGAGGCGCTACGTTTTACATGGTTGCCCGTGGGGAATCATCTTGAGTGGCCTTACATGCCAGTAGCACGACACCATTCCCAGCGGCCTTCGGCGCCTGGAGGCACTCTCTACGGTGGACTTGATCTTGCCCAGGGGAATACGGTGGTAACAGATCAAGTAATGGCCATGCCCGGCTTGCCCACGACTCCTGGTGTTATGGATACTGGAAACGAAAGACAGGTTCAAGAGCCTGAAGACTTCGATGCTCTCTTTGAGGAAATGGTGGCTTCTATTCCACAAACAAGGTATGTCGATACTCCGGCTATTGTTTATTCATACTAATCATTACAGAAACGAGCCCACATTTGCCGAGAACTTGGGGTTCTATGCAGGAAATCTAGATACAGACTTCCTTGCTCAGTTGCAACATGTCCCAGACAATGGTTGATGTCAATGTATCCATCATGATCGTGATTATAGATCCAACTCCTTGGCCAACTGTTGCCAGGCTCGGATACCTCGCTGGGAATGACTCTGTGGCACGCTCGGATCCGGATCTGCCATGGTTCTGGAGAACAATTCCATTGACACCCATCCTTCGAATCCGAGCTCCTTCAGAATTACTCGCGCCACCTCGACTACAGGGAGATAGCCACCCTTGTCCTGTTCATACAGGAACAATCTCGCGTTGCGGCTCCAGTTCATGCGTGCCGGCTGGCCGTCGACGTGGAACGGATGGCCGGGGACCAATGGTTGCTCCATTTTTTCTGCATCAACAACTTGGACATAAAAGACCTTTTTCACGTCGATGGTCTTGACAAGGTGATCCAACGAATGGGCCAGCACAGCATCTGCGTCAGGGACCTTCCCCGAAGGACTTGCGGGATCGGCCCACACCCGACCGGCGATGTTGAAGGTATCTAGACAACATCCAAAATTAGGACGATCCACCCGCTGAATGATTTCCCACATAGTGTCCCATGTTGAAACATAGGTACCCCAGGCGAGACTCTCGTATGCGAAGCGAACTGGCGGCTCTTGCTTCAGGCCCAGATCGGCCACCTCGATCATGTCGGAGACGATAAGATCAAGGTCTCCTGAGATGCCATCGGGCTGAAAGTTCGACGGAATTTGGATGATATCGGTGCCGAGGATCTTGATAATCTTGAACCAGGTGTGAAGTTTGGCGATTTTCTGTTGGTGGACATCTCGATCCAGCAGGCCCTCATAAAACATGAACGGCTGTAAGCCAATCACTTCCAGGCCGTGATGATTACAAATGTTCTTGGTTTCTCGGGCGGCAGCTAGGAGATTCTCTTCTGTCGGTTGTCCCTTTTCTTTGGCAAGGTATTCCAGGTCTTCGTAGAAAATCTCCACTCCTTGGAAGCCGGCCTGAGCAATTTGGGAGAGCTTCTCAGGGAGAGAATGGACCCAGGCACGGCCCACGGACATGGACGCGATGGCAGGTTTGCAGGGCATGATGAATAGAAAGAACTGATAATACAATGTATGTGATATTCAAAGCGTAGCATGAACCTTGGGTGTACATTTATATGCTTTCTATCATACGTCAGGCCCGGCCCACACTGAGGTCATCGGCAATGCCCTCATCCGATCCCTGTCCCTGCAATCCACCAACTCTACTCCTATCCTCTAGAAGTTAATACCCGGACTCTCCTCTGCAGCCTTCCGCAGCACAGACCACGCTCCATCCAGCGACAACTTCTGCCTCTCTTCTTCCCCGCACCAGAGCCGATACTGCTCCGGCATCTGGTGTCCAATAACCTCCGTCCCCTCCACCGTAGCCCACCCACGCTGTCGCGCCATCTTCAGAAACCTCGTCTGTCTCGGCTTGAAGCACATATCCAGCAACACCCCCTTAGTAGGAGCATCCAAAAACGCCTCCACAATGCGATGCACTTCCTTCTCCTCCGCTGTCACCGGCTCCGCATCAGGAACCGTCCCAACGATATACCCTGGCGCCGCATTCTCCAACAAACCCGCAACCTGCTCCATCCTCTCAACATGAACCATCTTCAACCCCTCCCCATACTCCTTCTCAGTATCCTCCCTCAACACCCTAACCTCTTCCTCATCCCGATTCACCACATAAATAGGCGTACATCCCAACTCCGCATACAGCGCATACACCGCCGCGCGACACGCTCCCCCAGCGCCCACAATTACCGCGGCCTTACCCCTCCCTTTCTCCTCTGGGTCGGCAGATAGCAAGCATCCCTTGATTCCACGCCAATCCGTGTTTGTTCCACGTAGCGTGCCATCTTCTGCGCGATAGACATTATTGCACGCTTGGAGGCGCACAGCGTACTCGTCTAGCCCGTCGAGATGCTCCATAATGGTGCGCTTGTAGGGCATGGTTACCACACCACCGGCGAAGGTGGGCTGACGGAAGAGTGTCATGGCGTCCTCGACGGTCGGGCACTCTTGCGCGATGAAGGTCCATGGGTAGCCCATGCTGTTGAAGGCGTAGGTGTGCATCGGGGGCGCGATGGAGTGAGTTACCCCGATGCCGACGAGGTAGGCGTAGCGCCGGGGGTCGGAGGTGGTGGTGGCGGACATGGTGCTTTTTGTGATATCTGGTTTTGATCTGGATATTCTAAAACTTGTCTGTAGAGTATATGACTGACTGCAGATAATATAATAGTCAGAATGTCCATCGGCTATGATCCTACCCGGAACGGATATCCTTTTGCCGAGCCCATCTTCTCCCCGGCTCTTCCCCGCGGGGTATGCCATGCCCTACTGACCTAGTATGAGTATAGTATAAAGTGAACTGATCCCCACCGTCTACATCTAGACAATCACCATCCCCTTTCTATCTCTCTCTCTCTCACCCAATAAACTCTGAACATACAAACTAAAACAAATCATTCATCATCAAAATGCCCGACCTTCACACCCTCCCCCCAAACTCCCGCCCCCAGCACGCCATTCGGAACAACGGCCCCCATCATCTGGCAATAGAGCGGTACCTCCTACGCGAACTCGCCGAAGGCTGGCCGTGCTATCGCGACGCCTGCGAATGGGAGAACTTCCGGTCAATCTTCCACCCCGAAGCGCATGTGTACACGACGTGGACGGGCCTCACGCACCACGATGCATTCATCACGGCCTCGCAGGCAGGGATGGACAAGGGCGCATTCATCATGCATCGCGTGCACGGCAGCACTACAGATATCAATCCTGAAGGAACCCGCGCCGTTACCAAGATGAAGGCCACTATTACGCAGCGGTTCAGTGAGGTGGAGTGTGTAAGTGGGGGAACGTGTGAGGTGGATGCAGAGAGTGACTGTCGGTTTATTTTCTTTTGGGAGAAGGTTGGTTCTGAGTATAAGGATTTGGAGGGTCAGTGGAGGGCGAGGTTCGTGAGGCATTGGTATGAGAAGGACAAATTGGTGCTTGTGACGCCGGATCGCGTGCCCGTGATTGATCATGAGAGGTTGAAGCAGTATCCGGTGGGGTATCGCCATTTGGCGTATTTGCAGGAGGAGACAATGGGGGTTAAGGTTCTTAGGGATTTGCCGGGACATAGGAGGGAGAAGGCGACGGGGAGTGTTAATGGTGAGAAGCATGATTTGTTGTATTGGCAGGCGAAGGAGTGGGTTGAGGGAGGGAATGTGGAGTGGGCTTGATGTAGAGATTACTGGTAGTATGTATGCTGGTGTATGTGTTGTCTTGAATAGATGTTACTTGTTTATAATGATTAAGGACTATCGCGTAGATTAGAAGTTAAATCCATTGTACCGGAGTAGGAAGGCGAGATGCCCAGCAGTCCTCTTAGGAGCAATGCCATCTTAGAGTAGAATACAAACCCACATATAGACATTATATGAGTCCGTAGCCGTGTAAATTTCCACTAGCTTCTTCTCCAGGGTAAACATACACCCATCCAACAACCCCATACTTCGGCTCCCTTCCGATGATAAACACATACCCTAGGCTATGATCATACCCGACACTCCACCACCAAGCCCTATATCAACCTTCACAACCAGATACAGTACCCTAACCAAGTTCAGTCCCATTGTTCGTATTTGCATTGTCTCGTCCAGACACTGAAAATGACGCAGCCCCTTGTCTTCCACATCTTCGGCGGCCCCAACATCCGCGCCTCCTTATCCCCGACAATACACAACGCCGCCTTCACCCACCACCACCTCCCATACACCTACACCATTGCAGAATGCGCTTCCTTATCAGAAGTATCTCAGCTCATCACTTCACCCTCCTTTGGCGGTGCCAGCATCACCATGCCCCATAAACTCACTGCCTTCGAACACTGTACTCAAGTGAGCGGTTCAGCGCGTGCCATTGGAGCCATCAACACCCTACTTACTACCCGATCCCCGAACGGGAACGGGGCAGTTAAAGTAAAAGGCGACAACACAGACTGGTCTGGCCTCTACACCCTCATCATCGGCTACTTATCCCAGCAAGGCATACATTCCGGTAAAGGGACCGGCAAAGTGGGCCTCGTCATTGGGGCAGGGGGTGCCGCGAGAGCAGCCGTGTATGCGCTCTTACAGGCTGAGTTCTCGACGATTATTATTTGGAATCGGACTGTCGGGAAGGCAGAGGATATTGTTAGGGATTTTGAAACTCTCAAGTGTGGGGGTAATGACGTTGATATGAGGGCTGTTGGGGATCTGGATAGCATTAGGAATATGGATGTGATTATTGGGACTATACCAGGGGATGCTAAGACGGAAGATGACTTTGAAGGGCTGTTTCAGGAATCGAAGATAGGGTTGTGTGTGGAGATGGCGTATAAGCCGAAAGTTACTCCCCTGATGAAGGTTGCGGAGAGGCGTGGGTGGGTGGTCCGCGATGGGTTGGAGGTGTTGTTGAGGCAGGGCTTTGAGCAATATCGGTTGTGGACGGGGTTGGATGCCCCGGAGGGGGTGATGAGGGAGGCGATTGGGGAGAATGGAGTGAAATCGAAGGTTTGATCAGGGTTTAGTGTGTTTGAGTTGTAGTGAGATTCGTTAGCATGAGATCATTTCTCTGAAAGATTGTTAAGAGATCTTTTCTCCTGTATCTTCATGCTCTTTGCTTCTCGTCAGTGTCATGGCTGGCGTCAGAGGAAGGATTACTTACAGGATGGCACTACGCTAATTGGACGCCCTCTGGTGACAGTTCTCCACCGGGTTTCAAACCAGCCATTCGCAGGTTGGGCAGAGCTGCTAGCGCATACATGTTCCCCCGATGGTCGCTAGTGTCCGTGGCACTCAGCCTTGTCGTTCCTGCGCTGCCATGAGGCCCATCCTGGCACCCTTCTGAACAATTGACGCTTTCCATTTTCTATGTCCCATACGTAGATATCTTTCAGATGATTGTTCCTCATGAGATCTGCTTTCTGTTAGGTTAATGCATGTAATACCACCATCAGCTTATTCTGACTGAAGGGATGGGATCTTATGGTCTTTGGTTCCCCGCATAACCGGCCGAAATTTACCTCGTCTTCCAATCAGATGTGGTGGAACTATCGGGTAGACTAGCGTGACTCACCAGTACAGCGCCCTATAAAAGACCCTTCGATGCAAAAACCGCTACATGCCCACAATACCACCATCATCCCACTTTATACATACCTAATATTAGTACAAAGACATACATAATGATCTGCACATTAACCCCGATCAACCTCTACAACCCCTCGGAATATGCCACCCTTCAACATCAACGCCGCATCTGCGGCTGGGACTATAGCGACGAGAGCATCCTCGCCTGGCGTGAGAAACAAGACGCCGACTTGAAAACATTCTTCTGGATTATCCTCCCCGGCAAGAGTGGTGACGAACCCATTCGCGCCGGTCACATCTCGCTCGACGCATACGCATCCCCGCCTGATCCGGGGCTTGCGCAGGCCGATCACTCTGTCTTGACCATTCAAACGTTTTTCATTCTGCCAGAGTACCGGACCGGTGGTGTCGGCCGTCGAGCTATGCAGTTAGTGGAGGAAATGGCGGTGAATGATCCGCGGTGTCAGACTGTTACTGTCAATGCGTTGAGTAAAGAGTACCTTGAAAATGAGGAGAAACGAGCATTCCTTGAATCAATGAACGCGGTACCGGAGTTTGCGGCGGTGTTGTGGTATGAGAGATTAGGATACGTGCGGTGGAAGACGGAGCCGAGGTACCCGTACAAGTTGCCTCAGGGAGAGGGCATGTACGAGGCAGACTTCATGAGGAAGCAACTGCGGTAGGGAGGCGCTGCGAAGTTTGACAGGTGGTGTTTTGTTGGTAGTCGGTATACTAATTTGGTGGTTAGTTGGTGGTTTGATGAATAGGGATAGACTTATCAGTGTGACAGGGGAGCGGGATCGATGATACGAAGTAGTGATGGACGAAGAAGGGAGATGATGAGAAGCGGTCTATATAAATAATCGTTCTGGAAGGAACACTATTGAAGATCAGAGCCATAATAGGTATTAGCTGTTCCAAATGATATCATAACGCCCAATAGCGGTTGATCATTTGAACGAGCTGTCAATTGACAGCTGCCGTTACCCCAACATAGCATAGATCTCACTCTGAGGTTTCACAAATCGTAGGCAAAAGTAGTACAGCATGTGAATAATTGAGTACACATTGAACACTGTCTTTGTCGATTATTCCTCATATCTCAGGTGTCACTATCATAGCTAGACTAACCACCATCACTCAGCAGTGACCCGGCGAGCAATAAAAGGACCAGTATCCCGAGCCATTCTGCTACTACTACTGCAGAAAACATCAACAAACAGCTCAAGTCCAAGCAGCGCAGGCAATTCTCTCACTCGCCACCATCATGAAGGTTTCCGCCGTTCTCTGCATCCTCGCCGCCACTATGGCCGCCGCGGCACCTACTAGTTGTATGTCTTTCCAAGCTCGACCATGCTATGCAGAAACTGACATTGTCTAGATGCCAACCCTCAGCGCCAGAACCAGAACCAGAACAACAACAACAACAACAATAACAACCAGAACCAGAATAACCAAAACCAAAACCAAAACAATCGCCTCAGCGCTGAAGAGCAAAAATACCAGCTCAGTGACACTAACCACAAGATTGGACGCTCCGAGGTCATTTACGCGCGAGGATTCGGTTCTTCTTCCTCAAAGCCCGTCGCACCTGAGTATTCTGAGCCTGAATCCTCGACAATTTACGTCCCCGAGAATAACTACCAAGCGCCTAAGACTCCCAAGGAGGACTACAGGTCTGAGGCCTACCAGTCCGAGGAGTACAAGACGGATGATATCAAGTCTAAGGGCTATCAGTCTGAAAGCTCCAATCCTGAGGTCCACCAGTCTGTAGACTTCAAACCTGATACCCACACGCCTAAGGTTCACAGGCCTGAGATGGACAAGCCTCAAGTTCACAAGCCCGAGGCTCCCAAGGCACCTGCACACCCCGTGAATCACGTCCCGGTCAACCAGCATAAATCTGTCTCTTACAACACTCATGAGTCCTACGAAAGTCAGACTACGGAGCAGCAGTAATGTTTCAGCAGTCATACTTGGTATGTATATGCTAACTCCTTTCGCTATAGTGATATATACTAATGTCTTTGTTACAGA